CGCATGCCAGTGCCAGGGGGGGTGCGGGGGGGGCGGGGAAGCCGAGTCTGCAGAGCTCTCGCTAACACCACTCCTGCCCTTCACGCTCATGGCGGCTGACGCACCTCGAGGGCCAGGTGCAAGATGCCGTCCTTTCGCCCCTTCCAGCCACATGGGGCTCAGCCTCTGGTGTGGGGCAGCCAGGGTTCAAGTCCCCTCGTCTCCTCCATGGTGCTGGGCAAATAACTTACCTTCTCAGCGGCCTTGGTTTCTTATTTTTAAAATAGGCGTGGCATTATGTGATGGCCAAATAAGCATTAAAAATGAAAGCCCACAGCCCAGCGTCTTCCGTAGATGTTAGTTCACTGCCATTACTAGCAAGGCCTTCGTGCTTCTGGGAGAGAGCTTCTCTCTAGACCTTTCGCGTCTCTTTCCACCTCTTCATACTCCCGGGCCTCCTTCTATACCTGATCAGAAAACTGGGGATAATAAACTGGGTCCCTTGTCCCTCTTGGGAAGGAACCGGCCTTAGGCCTTACGTGCCCTGGTGACCTGAACTGAGGCTCTGTACCTGCTGTTCCCACTCCAAGCCTGGGTCCCCACAGGTGCTCATGAAGACGGTGTGTGACTCCAGCTCTCTGCCTCTTACTCTCTTACAACCTGAGCAGGGGAGAGGCGTGTGGTGTATTCGGCTTCCTTGGTACCTTTGCATCAGCACTCGCGGTCTTCCTCCTCGGTTCTCACAGAATCGTAGAATTTTAGAGTAGAAAACAGCTTTTAAAAAAAAAATAACCAAAAGGTTTTTTGCTATAGAGTGTGTGCACTCACCAGAGACACAGGGAGAGAGAGGGGGAGAGAGAGGGAGAGAGAGGGAGAGAGAAATCACCCCCTCCAGGAGGGATGGCCATTCCGCCACCCCTTCTCCTCCGTTCTCTCGGGATTTTGGACATGCGTGCACACGCACCTGGCGTGAGTTTCAAGTTGCCGGGTCTAGGACTTGAACTATAGTCAACCAGGTGGGAGTCCAACGCTGAAAAGAGTTTTACAAAGTGTCTTGGATTCGTTTCCCAGTGCCGTGTCTGCGCCTGCCTGCCGAGCGGCCACTCAGCAAGCACTTGCACACCTCTGGCAGAGAGGAGCTGGCTCTCCACAGCGGCGTCCTGGTATGACCGGCCACGGTGCCCCCAGTGGGCGGCATTGCCCACGCAGGGTTCGGGCCTGCCGGCACTGGGGTGGCTGGCCGCCTGCGCTCGGCACGAATACTCAGCCGTAGTTTCCTGTGGGGCAGAATATTGACCTGAAGCCTGTCCCGTTTCTGGCAAATTGTGTAAAGTTGTCTATGAAGTAGTCGTGTAGTCTGAGAGAGCAAGCGATCTGCGTGTCTTTGGCATTTCACTGAAAAATCTGTCCCGTGTGGGTGTGTCTGCTGCGTTCTGAACAGACGCCAGCTTGTGGCTGGTGTTAATGCAGGACGGTCTTCAAGACACATGTTACCCCTCGGCCTCAGTGCTCCAGGTAGCGATGCAGCCAGCGGGAGCCCTGTGAGGCCGCCTCCTGAAAACTGAGCACGGAGCCTGCCCTGGTGGAAGAGAGTAAAACTCCTGGTGAAATTCTTCCTTCAGTGCCAGAGAAGCCAAGTGGGGCCTTGGGCACACGCACCTCAAGTGTCATTGCCAGGTGGAGACAGACCTCCCGGGCACTAGCCCGTTTATACTGTGTGTTCTTAATTTCCAGGCAGAATGAGCCAGCAGATGCTAAGAAATAAGATCCTTCGTAACCTTTAGAAAAATAACTTTGTTGAGGTAGACTTTACATTTTAAAACATTCACCTTCGATGTCCTTTAGTATATTCATGGAGTTGGACCACCACTGCAATAAACATTAAATACCATTTCGTCACCCCAGAAGGAAGCTCTGCACCCATCAGCAGTTTTCTGCATCCACCACCCCATTCTGCAGCCCCTGGCAACCACTGATCTTACGGATTTGTCTCTTCCAGGCGATTCATATAAACAGAATCATACCATCTATGGCTTTTGTATCTGACTTATTTATTTATTTATTTATATTTTTTAGGTTTTTGCCATTGGGCATGTGTACTTGCTGGAGAGAGAAAATGAGAAATCACCCTCTCAGGGCGGATGGCTTTGCCACAATTTCTTCTCCATTCTCCTCTTGGGATTTTGGGCACACACGCACATGCACTCAGTGTGAGTTTTCAAGCTCCCAGGGCCAGGACTCAAACTGTGGTGGGCCCGGTGGCCGGGCCCAGTGCCTCAACCGCTACCCCACCTGCTGGTCTGTGCTGGTTCTTATTTAATGTAGTATTTCAAGGTTCACCATGTCGTAGCATGTATCAGTACTTCAGTCCTTCTCATGACCCAATTTTCCTAATTTTGTTTACCCAGTCATCAGTTAATGGGCATAGAGATTTTCCTCCCTTTTTAGCTGTTAGGAATAATGTTCCTATGAACATGAGTCATGAGTTTTCGTGTGGACGTATGTTCTCATTTCTCTTGAGTATATACATAGGAGTGGAATTGCTAAGTCGTAGGCCCCAAATAACCTTTTAAAATGATCTTTCTGGTTTGCTATTCTTGTGCCTCATGGTCCTGTTCTTTGGACTTACATGTGCTGTCTCTGTGCTGAGCATTGTCTGGGACTTGATACACAGGTAACACATCCAGGACCCATGTTCAAATTCTTTGTAAGGATAATTCAGAATCACTCAAGTAGAATAAACCTAGCCATAAGAATGTGTACTATATAGAGCCTCTACCAGATTGTATTTGCCTTCAGTCTTGTTTTTTCCAAGCTTTTCTTGAAGATTTACAAAGACTTCTGTTTCTCTTTTGTAGAATCGCAATGAGATCAAAAACGGCACTATCCTTCGACTAACCACATCTCCGGTAAGTTGGTTTTAGTCACTAGCTTCCCGAGAAACTCTTTGCTCCCAGCGTCTTGGTGATCCTGAGATACTGAGTTTTGAGCATGACATTAGTGTCAAACAAGAGATCTGTGGAATGTCCTTGTGGGCAGATTCTGGTGCGATGGGAATGGCCCTCCTCATATTCATATTTCTGTTAGAGAAGGGGAAGGCTTTGTTCCAGGTAGGGGCAAGGAGTCTGACCGTGAAGCCCTAGGCTTGGGCTCGGTGGTCACCCCAACAACTCTAATACCACAGGTGCGATACCTCAGCTGTGGTGGTGCGGTAACTTAGGTGGTGGCTTACCCACCTGTCCACACATCCACCTGTAACTATCAGAGCCAGTTCAGACAAGAAGCAAAGCAAACAAAACCAAAGACGTTCTGTTACTTTGCTTTAAAGAGGAGAATAAGGGAATGTTTAAGCGTTTTCCAGCTTTGGTCAGTTATTATGACAGTTCATGAAATACCGTTCAAGAAGTGCTGGCCACTGACGCTGTTTCATTGACAGCTGATGTCAGATAAAACCCTTCAGAGCCTCCTGAGCAAACGCTACTCAACAAGAGGCCGGAGTAGATCTAAAGTACGCTAGCTGATGGCCTCACTTTTCTTGCCTTTTCTTCCTTGCTTGTAGTTACTGTGGGTAGTAATTAGCATATTTAAACCATATTATTTCTCGGTGCCTTCTTCTTTTTTTTTCTTTTTGCTTTCCTAAAAAAATAATCTGCACAAAATACTCCAAGTGTTACTATTTCCGCTCCGCCTATGTGATGAAAACTGCGTCTAACTAGCATTTTCAGTTTCCACCAAAGCCATGTGGTGGGCTAAAAATAAATGTAAAAATTGGGAGAAGCATCTGGCTAACGTTAAACTGTGGGTTCTGTGACTGCCACACATTCCTCTTGTTGAAAATTGCATTAGAGAGGCTTAGAAGCTCCTAAACGTTTTATCCAAGAACATCTTGAACTAAAGACGGCGGCAGGCTCTGTAGAACCCGTCGCTGGAGCTGCCCGAGTGCCTTCCGGTGCTCCCTTTCCTAACAGGTCTACTTATGCTCGTTTTCCAGGCTCGGTGATGAGCCGGGACGTCTGTCTGACTTCACAGTGTTTCTCTCACTCGAGTCACCAAGCGTCAATGTTAATTTGCCCTTTAGAGACCAGTGCTTCATTTGGGTTTTGTAGTTCCCAGGTGCCCTGCTGACAGCACTCATCGGCCTGCCTGGCAGAAGAAGCCCACCTTGTCTTTGATTTCATCTTGGAATCAGAAAGGCGCAAGTTTGTCTCTAGGCCTTTCTAAGCTGGAGGAGGAGTCAGTTCTCTTTCTTACTGCTCTGGGTTCATGAGCTTCCACAGTCTCTGTCACTCCTTGAGAGAAGCCTAGGTGGTGAGCAGGGGGCAGTCCTCCGCCCTCCCACGAGTGGGCAGACTGATGCACGGCAGACTTGCCAGGGGCGGTGGGATTGCTTCTGCAGATGATGAGCCTCAGTTTCCCAGCGTGGTGCGTGCAAAGATGAGGCAGCTGGTGTACAGGGCATCTGGCCCAGCGCTGCACTGCCCCGTGGAAGCCCTTGCACAAGCCGACTGCCCTCCGCTGTGCTGCATTTCTTCAGATGTGCATTTTCCTGGCGTCATATCTTTATATACCTCCCCAGTATCGTATAGTACAGCCAGAAACACACCCGAAGAGTATGTGCAAAATGTGTGTGAGCTACAAGAGATGGCACACAGTGGTTAAATGTAAAGACTGAATTAAAACCTCAGAGAACATTTTCTGGAGCAGCCCCCCAGCTCCCCACAGCAGGGTGAGGTGTAGAACTTGAAAAATGCTGATGCCTGGATTTTATAGAGAGGCAGGATTACAATACCTAGGAATGGGGCCCTGGAACCTGGAATCTAGAATTGGAACTCACTCTGAAAGCAAGATATTAGGGATCTGTAGACTTTGATCTGTTGCTAGCAGGTCATTTTTGATCGTTTTGTGTTTAACTAAAAAATATGAGTTGTGCCTACTCTTTCATGTTTTACATACACAGTGAAAATATGTTAAAAAGAAACTGTCTCCATCAGATTTGTTAGGAAATCCTCCCAGAAAGCCCAGCAGATGGTGTCCCACTAGTATTTAAAGTTTCTTCATCAACCTGCTGAATGCTCCTCACAGCCAGATAAGAACTCATACATACGGACCAGCAGGTGGCGAGGTGGTTAAGGTGGCTGGATTCCCACATGGCTGACTGCAGTTTGAGTCCCAGAGGGGGTGGCTTGCAAGTCACGCTGGGCACATGTGCATTCGTGCCCAAAATCCCAAAAGAAGGATGGAGAAGAAGGGACTGCAGTGTGGCCTCCCCCCGGGGGGTGATTTGTCACCTTTCTTCTCTCTGTCTGTCTCTCTCTCCTCTCTGGGGAGGGCATGTTCCTTATGGCAAAAACCTATGTATGTGTGTGTGTATATATGTACACATATGTAATTTTTTAAAAAGAACACACACACGTTACATTTTTAGGTACTGTGTTACTGTGCTGAGTTTTACCTGCTCTCTGTCAGAAGTGATCTTTTTGTTGATTGACAGATTCGTTTTCTTCTTCCTCTCTCATGAACAATCCTTTCCGAATGTCTGGCCACACGGGATGTCAGTAAAGCGCATCTAAACAGCCCGCTGCCATTGTCCGTTGGGAAGCTCCCGCACTTAGCTGCCCCCCAGCTGCATTGCACACCCTTAGACATGTGCGTCTCTCTCATGTCGTATCCTGACGCATTTCCCTAGTATCAGAAATCGTAGCCCAAAACGCACTCCGATGTGTGTGTCAGTGTGAGTTTCCCGGCAGTTCGAGGGCCGGGCGCATGCGAGCGTCTGCGTCATGTCTCCTCCCACTGCCGTGGTAACTAACGATGGCTGTGGAGACCAAACTGAGGTCACACGCTGTGCGGTGCGTGGCTGATGAAGTCTTGGCCACTGTTCACATCTGAAGAAACTAAGATTGCCAGACTATTGCTTTTACTTTTAGAAATTTTTGTTTTAAAAATTCCTTACAGTGAATATATTTGTAGTCTTGGAGTGGGGAGAGGCTAAGTGGGGTTCAAAACCCAGAAATCATAAACAAAAATCTTGATAAAATTGACTTCCAAAAAAATAGAACAACCTCGAAACACTTTTATATTTGGAAAGAGACAAGTCAAAACTAATCCATTAGAAAAAAGTTGAGGGGCCAGCCGCTGGTGTAGTGGTTAATACATTGGACCTGCACATGGCTGACTGTGGTTCAAGTCCCAGACCTGGTGACTTGAAACTCACACCGGACACTTCTGCATGTGTGCCCAGGGTCCTGAGAGGAGAGTGGAGGAGAAGGGACTGTGGCATGGCTACCCTCACCCCGGGGGATGATTTCTCACTTTTTCTCTCTGTCTCCCCTGGAGTGCATGTAACTTAAAACAAACATCTCTCTAAAAACATATACAGATAATTGGTAACGTGGATGACAGGGGGTTGACCTCTTCATTTATAGGATTCTTTATCAATAGATAAGCAACCTGCTCTTAAATGACCGAAGCCAAAACTGTAAGGAAGGACCGGAAAGGAGATGAGCAATTCCTTAGCTACACAGAGCTCTCTATCTCCACACAGACAGACAGAATTTCCTCTCTCTTCCTCTCAAGCTCAATCTCGCTCATAAAAGAGATGAAAATCTCTTTGAAAAGTGCTCTTAGTGGGCTGACCCATAGCCTACTGGTTAAGGGAGCTGGGTCCCACGTTGGTTACTGAGGTTCAAATCCCAGTCCGGCTGTTTAAGAAACATGCCGTGTGCACGCATGCCCTAAATCTGGACAGGATGGGGAAGCGAGGGGGAAGAGACTGTGGCATGTCCATGCCTCATTCGGGGCGCGTTGTCCCTGTCCTCTCTCTCTCTCCAGAGAGTGCATCTGTCTTCTGACAATTAAAAACGGTCCTCCTAGATAATCCAGGTGTGAAGACAAGCTGCTGTGGGTCTGGAGTGCGATGTGGTCTAGCCTCTTCAGCGGGCATGTTAGCTGTACCAGCAACTTGAAAAAGTGTGTGTCCTTGAACTAACAGCCTACCGCTGGGAACTGCCCCGTAAATAGGCTCACAGACGCCCTGCGGGACACGCACACACTCACATCCAGGCTTGGCTGTGTGCATCATTGTTTCTCGTGATTAAAGCCAGAGCCTGGCGCGGTGTGTCAGCTGGGAGCAGGCTCGTGCGGTAGGTGAGAGCTGTGGCTTAAGCACCTGAGGCTCTTGAAAGAGGGTGGTGTGCTTCCATGGAGGCATTGCTTCAGCACGTAATTAAACACAAAAGCAGGCCGCAGAACGTCGAGTACAGAAGGATGCCAGCTATGTGTGCAGAAAGGAGGCACATGCACATGTATGATGCATACATGCACCTGTAACAGGAGAAACAGGTCTCTTAAGGAATAACACGAAAACCAGTTAACAGTGGACCGACTTTACTCTTCATTTTACAATGTCCGGGAGCACTTAGGTATTTCTTTCTGTGCCATGTGCTGATATTATTTTTAATTAAATACACACACAAATAAATAGTGTAAAAAAGTCACCGCAGAATACCAGAGGTGACTCACAGCACCCCAAGTGTAGCGTGGCTCAGGGCTCTAAACTGCGAGGCCTACCGAGCCCTGTTAGAGATGGACTGGAATCTTCTTGCCGTGACCCTTGATTTGGGCCGGTGTGGACGTGGGGACCAACCCCGCTCCAGTACCTGCCCGGCTGTGGCTGCCCGGCTGTGGCGGCTCTCAGCTGTAAGCCTCCCTTCCTGCGCCCTCACGTCAGGGAACCAGAACCCAAATTATCTGGGTCAGAGGGTAGTCGGTCACGGTGGGTTTGGGGCCAGTCTCTCTGGCGATAAGAAAAATGGTATTATCTCAGTCACCGCTGGGTTCAGGTTATCAGAGATTCTTAACAGTAAGGCCATCGATAATTTTTCCAATCGATTTTCCTCTGTTGGTTTGA